GGGTTGTGACAGTCTATTATCAGGCTCAGAGGACTTTTCCTCCCCTTCAGGAAAACACTTCTATGGATTTACCACAAACCTGTGTATGTGGCTTTCCTTCCAGGCCCTCTGTTGTTGTTTTTTCTCTCTGCACCTGACAGTTCCTCACTCTTCCATGTTAGATGCTAATCAGATTTTCTGCCTTCAGCTTATTTATCTCTCTTCTTCAGGTGGCATTCAGGGCTTGAACTGCGTTCTTGTTTATTTGTCTTTCTGTTTTTATTTAGTTATTTATCTTTTGCGGCTCCAGCATTCTCTGCTCACATCCAGCTGGTAGGTCGCCTTCTATTATGTGACATATGTTAGGATGAAATTATTCTGTACCTTAACCACAAGCCATGGAGATGATTTGTTTTCAGATGTGTTTGTGATGCGGTCCTACCTGCAATGCTGACCCTTTCTCCTCTGCCTCCACCTGCATGCTGGTGGGAGTTTTCTAACTTTCCTTTCTCCCAGGCTTCAGTGTCTACCACATAACCTCTATAGCAATCTCTGAGAAAGCCAAAAGCAAGCATCCCTTTGGAGAAAAAGAGTCTCCTAATAACTTTCATAAAAATTAGGGTAAGATCATTTTTTAGTCTTCATTAAAAAATGCTTAAATAGTATAGGGTTTATAAAGTCATAACACAAGATAAAGATCTCACCTAGTCTCCTTGTATCATCACATAAAATTACCATGCTAATCATGGAATCCTGAAACTTGTTTGCATGTGTCACAAAACATCGCAGATTCTGCCTCTAGATTAATGGAAATAGTTTCAACTCAAGCATATGAGCAACTATAAATCATTCCATAGCACAATGATACCAAAAAAAAAAATAAGTAGTCATCTTTGTCATGGTGCGTATTTAGCTAATTGTTGTTTAATCATTCCCAGATTATTTCAACACATAGTGTTATATGTTGGCCCCCAAGTCTCTATGAAGTTAGATGTGCATATATCTACTTATTGTCATTTTCCTGCCACTGTGGGCAATATTCCCCTTCCACTTTCAGCCCCTGGTTTCTGTAAGCCAATGTTATCTGCCATGAGGGCAAAGAAGTGAAGCCGGCCTGGCTAGTTAGAGACTGAACCTTTCTAGATACAATAGTAACAAAAATTTGCCTCTAAAATGGGAAACATACCTTTAAAAAAGCATCTATTGTGTTTTAACCTTAAAATGTGTATGTTTTGTTATTTTTAACATCTCTTTGAAATTCTCATTGCATTTTCTATCATTAAAAAATTTAGATTATAATATATTACATCATTTATCTTATGCCTTCCCTTTTATCACTTTCAGTGAGACAGTGCAATAGGTAGAGGTCCTCACCTCCAAGCCTGGTGATGACTTTTGTCCTCTTACCTCCATTTTTTGCCTTGGCATCTACCCCTCCCCCACTTTACATAGATAGAATAAAGAATGTGAAGTTATAATTTGAGTAAAAATTTATACTTATACATCATTATTATCTTTCTTCCAACTTCTCACGTATCTGAGTTCATCATTTTCATCTGTGTGTAGTCAGGTCTCACCCGTGTTCATTTGATCTTCTTGCTTTGGCCACTTCCCTCAAGTTATTTCGAGGCACGATTTGGGTGGCTGCTAAGATCTCAAGGAGGAACAAACAAGAAGCCATGGAAGGAATAATAGGTTCTTCGCTGGCCATGTCCAGGCTGTAGAGGTCCTAGCAGCCCTTTTCAGGCCTGAGTAGACAGTTCCTCCTGTGCATGCTCTGTGTCTGCTGAAGTTCCTGTCCAGGTCTGTCTATGAGATTGAACAGGCCATCTGGACAACAGTCGTAGTCGGTCCCTGAGATAGCTACTCTTTCAGGAATCCCCCGTTTTTGTTAATCAAACCCTTCTCTTCCTCTTCAAGCAATAGCTTTACTAACTATAAATGTGAGGCACATTCTTCTCTCCATCATCTGGCTGTGTCTCATGAGGCATCAAAGGGAGTGAAGTTGGCTACCTAAAGGACATATCTATGGAGTAAAAATGCAACCTCCTGGCTTGGATATCTTTTTCCCCCCCAGTCTGCTCTGAGGAAGTTGGAGGGCAAGGAGCTCCTGAAGGTTCAAGCTGCTGTCCTCCAAAATCACAGATGTGTTTGTAATACTTGTCCTTATACCTAAGATACTGTGGTATCTGAAGTACCACTTTCCATCTCATATGATCATACTAAACAGCTTTCTATCCCAGGAACCAAAGAAATTATTTGCTAGAATTCTATGTTTTGAACATTTTCCATTTGTGTAGAATGATCTCAACCTCATTCCTCATACTTTGCCCATTGTATTATTTATTATTCAATAATCAGTATAGGCATTTTCCATTTTTAGGAACCAACCATTTGTTACAAATTTTAATGTTTAGTTATCTAATAAAGGATATGGTATTTATGTTACTATGAACTACATATGCGAGGTTAAAATGTCAGTTAGGAATTTCTCACTGTGCGCTATGGAAACAGTATTGTATTTCTAATTGTAGCACAATTAAGAAGGAATTTAAGGGCACTTAAGCAATAGCTCACCCAGCACATGGCAGGCAGACAGGTAGAACTCTGAAATCAAGGCCAGCCTGGTTTACATACTGAGTATCAGAATAGCCAGGGAGAGACCCTGTCTCAAAACAGACAGACAGACAAACAAAAAGGAGACAGATCAGTCAGCAAACACTTCTGTTCAAGCCTGAAGTCCTGAGTTCAATCCCTAGCACCCATGTCTTAGTGTGGGCTTATAATACCAGAATCGGAATAGGAGTAACGAATCAGTAATTTCCAGGTCCCAGTGTGAAACACTCTCAAAAACTAAAGTCCAAAGATTCAAGGCAGCACTGACATCCATTTCTGACATCCAAATGCTCACATGCTTACACACAAAACAAACTCTCACTCACCCACACCTAACAAAAGACAATAAATATAAAGATAATTAATCACTGTGCAAATAAAAACACCCCAAGACTGGTACCAAAAGTGAAATGAACCACGTAGCTTTGGTGGCTCCAAATCCTTATTGTTACTGTGTCAACGTTAAGAGGGTCCAGATGTTTCCCGTCATTCCCCAATCAGAGCCAGTACAAAATGTGAAAGGAGAGCAGGAGGAGGTTTGGAAAAAAGAGAAGGTAGAAAGAAAATAAACGGGGACAGGCAGAGGGAAAGAAAACTTTCACAGTACCTCCCTATTTCATGGGCTAATTGTGCCTACTTCCTAACTGCTGAGGAAGGATGCTCAGGCACACCTCTCCTCACATTTCAGGTCCTTACAGCTTCATGAACAAGGCACCTGGAGTGCGGGATGTACAGGCTGGGGTCTATGTCCTTTCTTCCTAGTGTCCCGTTGTTGTATTTTCTCCAGCTTCCAACTTCTGTTTATTTACAGAGTTGAGCTTTTATCCATTGGAATGAGAATATGTATCTATCTATCTATCTGCCTGTCTGTACATCATGAGAGTATGAATGCATGTATGTATGTGTGTATGTATGTGTATATGTATGTGCGTATGTATGTTTATGTATGTATGTACTATCTGCCGTCTATCTATCGTCTCAGTGAAATGCTGTATTAAAGTCACTTACACTGAAAGTGCTAACAGGTTGAGTTCTGAATTAATTAAACACATTTCTTATGACAAGTATTTAAGTCAATCTGCCACCACTCAAACTCCAGGGTTTTTTTTTTTTTTTTTTTTTAATAAGGAAAAAAAGTAAGCTTTTGCCACTGGCTAATTTTTAGTTATATAAATTTTCTTTGCTGAAAGAATCTTGTTTGACTAGTGATCGGATTTATCAAGTGATATTATTTGTTAAGTTAAAGTTCAAACCTTTGATTTTAAAATAAAACAATTCCAAATCTCTTAGGTTGCCAGGCTGCATATTTCTAACTTACATACGCCCTAAGGGTTTTCTATGAGCTAGTCTCTCAGTGTTCCTGATGGGCCGCTGTTTTCTTTCTTAGGCACTAGAGATTGGAAGGATGAAGTCAATGAAACAGCGTTTCCTGTGTGGACCCTAAGTTCCTCAACACTTTACTATACTGGCTCTAGAATATACTGTTCCACGTGCTGTGGATTCACTTTGGCTTACATTTCTTTTACCTTACACATGCTGAGTCCTGAGCACACAGTTCTAATTATGGCATCACGTGTGTTAGAGATGGAATGAGGTTTCCTCTCTCCTATCTAAGTACTGTTTACACAGACATTCCAAGGACTATCTTTTGCATTTAACCCCATAACCTCTGCGTGCTTTTGCAAAACACAAGGTTTAAATGAACTTACAAAGACTCATGAGTTAATGGATTAGAAATATGAAGGTTTTGATATTTAACATCTATCAGGAACAAGTATTTTAACTTTGCTCAGAAATGACTTGCATTTTTATGTCCCTCTAGACAGAGACATTGCGTTTCTTTCACAGGGCTGCCACACCAAAGTAGCACAAATGTCTGTGAAAGCATCTCAAAATTGTCTTATAGTTTTGGAGTGTAAAAGTCCCAAATGTAGGTGTCAATAGGGCTGAATCCTAGGAGTTGCAAAGAAGACAACATTCCAAACTTCTCTTATTTCTGTTTTGCCAGTCCTTAGTTTGTTTGTTTGTTTGTGGTAAAATGAAACAACAGCCCAGTCTCTACTTTTGTCTTCATCTATGTTTGGATGAACTCTCCTCTCTCCTCACAAAATGTTCTCTAAAATAATACCATTCTGATTGAGTAACTCTCTACCCATATTACAATAAAGCTTTATTTAAAGTGTCTGTAAAGATTCTATTCTCAATATGTATTCCACATTCTGAGGTGTCGATGGTTAAGACTTATATGAGGGACACAGTTCAACCCATGGTAACTATACGTTGTGATAAGGAGTGTTGTGACAAGGATGGGCAGTCTGGGGATGGTGCAGTCTGTTGGGAATATCCGTTGTGTACTGTATCTTGGGTATACGAGATGGTCCTAACTGCTCTGGACTTCTTCACAGGACTGTCCTTCGCTATTCTTTCATCTGTACACCCAGTTTTTGGTTTATATGGATCTCTGTTTCCAGCCATCATTTATGCCGTATTTGGAATGGGACGCCATGTTGCCACAGGTAATAATTACTGTCTATGCCTAAATTTCTCTTACAACTAATAAAAGGGACTCAGGGTGGTCATTAGCTCCTGCTTACCCTTTTAAAGCCTCACTCCTTGTACGGAGGGAGTGTGAGGTATGTCTGTTTGTCAGATACACCCCATGATTTATTGCCATATTGCTGTGCCATAAAGGAAACTGAAAATAGAAGCATTGCCGAACTGACAATGGAATAAGAATGCAAACATTAGAAAGAGTGCAAACACCATAAAGTTTAGTGGCTCAAATATTGAAAACCATTTTGATTGTATTTCTTTGATTCTTTTACTAAATGATCTAAGTTTCCTCTAGTTGGATTCTCCTGGACCTTTAAATGGGTGTCTCTCGCCCTACTTCACTCTGATCTCTAAAAAATACAAAAACGAATGGTAAGGGTGAGCAGTCGAGGTTATTCTGATGTTGAATGAGCCGCACTTCTGTGCACGCCACACCTAAGTGCATGGCTCTTTGTTATTCACCACCTGTACGGCCCAGGCAGAGCTTTAAAACTCTGTCACTTTTTAAATAATAAGACGACCCTTCACTCATGTCTTACAATAGTGAGAGCTACACGATTAGTAAATAGTGTTTAATACTTGCATGTATTAATGTGGACATCTGAGGTTACTTACAAAATGATGCCTGAATCTTAAATATTCATCCAGTAACAATATATAGTTCAGTGGGAGTATCTGCGGACATTGCTGTGCATTTCGTGTTGAGATCTCAGTCCCTAAGGAATAACATTTATGAGTCTGTCTTCCGGGGTGAGTTCGTGTTGTTTATCGTATTACTTTCCTACTGTCGTCACAAATTATCATGAGATAAGTGGCTTGAAACAAAGGGAGTTTCTATTGTTCTGGAGGTCCGTGTGTGAATAAGTCTTCGAGGCCTAAAATAAGCAGTCGCTGAGGCTGCGTTCCTTTCTTCATGCTTTATCTAACAGCTCATTTTCTTGACTTTTCTATCTTCTAGCTGGGCTCCTGGCCTTTCAACAGTTTTCAAGGCCACTGGTGGTACCTTGAGATCTCCCTTTGACTCCCTGCTTTTGCCTTCATCTTTTGTATTTACATGATGTTGTGATTTCACTGTCTATAGCCAGAAAATCCAGGATAATTATATTTTAAGACCAGTTGATTATTGACCTGAATTTCCCCTGCTACATTTACAGTTTCTTTCCACGGAACATACATATTTATGAATTCTGAAGAATAGCGGTAGAAAATTTGAGAAGTCATATTTTTGCTTATCGTATACAGTTACGCACACATGTATGTTTTTCCATAAGCCAATTTTGTACCTGTAAAAGTTTGGTTTTCATATCACTAAACTTTGTTATGAGTGAGAGGTCAAAAGTTAGCAGTCCCTTATAGACTTGCTGCATAATGAGTGCTCTATGAAACAGCATTCTGAGGCGGCTTGTTAGCAATGTAGATGCTGCCTTTTCCTTCGGACACTACGAAGACACGCCAAATTAAAATCGTCATTTTCACAGGAGGTTTTATACACATGCATATACCACCCTCCGATTCTTGCCATAATGACATATTTCAGTCAACAAAAATTGTCATAGACAACATGGTTCATAATAGGATATTTCCCTTGGCATCATAGTTGACGGAGTATGGGTAAATACACGCTGATATGCCCACAACAGTGAAATTAGCCACAGAGAAGTCTCAAAAATGTATCTCTACTCTTCGGAGGCATTCAACAATATAATAAAATGTGTATTTCAGTACATATGTGTGCGCGTGTGGCCATGCACATCTATGTGTCTGCTTGTATATATGTATATGTTTCAGAACAATGCATATATTATTTGTTAGGAGTTTGCTGGGAGAGTTACATGTTCTTGTCTTAACATAACCCTTTAATGTGAACCTTAGTTTGTATTATATATACACTTCAAGCGAGCAAGGAAAAAACTTACAAAGTTTCTTATGACAGCACAGATTAAAGTCACAGACATACAATTTACACATCAGATGTAGTCAGGTCTGAATCCCAAACTACTTTTTTCTTCCTGACAACAAAATGTTTTAGAACACTCATTGAAGGAGTTTTCTTCCAAATAGATGCAACAGGAGAAAAGCACAGAATGAATCAAAAATTATTTTCTTCAATATTTATTTAGCATTTAAGACATGTTATCACTAATGGTCCCCTGGAATGTGGGAATTACAGATGTGAACTACTGTACATGGCCAAAAATTCATAAAGCTTACTGCTTTTTAATCGTTCTGCCTTCTAATTGTGCCACAGAACATTTAAGTATGTCTATAGCAAGAAAGAGCAAAGGGTTTTGGAAGTGACTTCACAGACATTCCCTGTGTTTGACACAAGATAAGAGAAAAAGGCAAAACAAAATTTCCCAAGAGAAAAAGGCAGAAAAAATTCCCAATAGACCATGATTACTTCTAGAAGCCAACGTCATGCGTGGTAGTTCACATGCTTGGGAGGCTGCAGCAGGAATTCTACAAAATGCCACAGGTTCAAGCCCTGCCTGAGCAACACAACAATTTAGGTTAGTTTGCATCTCAGAGCAAACTGCTGCCTAAATCCAAAAACTTTAAAAATTGTATAATATGATAATACTGAAATGTATATACACACAAACCATTGCATTTCATCGTTAATTGCACAGTTTCAAAGTTGGCATTTATGTGAGATTCTGTAACTATAAAAAGTTAATCACTTATTAACAGTTTACAGATATATCAAAATACACATTTTGCAAACTACACAGTCATTCTACTGAACAGTAAATATGAGAAGCATTTTATTTGTAAATTTATACTTCTCAGAACCTGCTGGACCTTCTTATTTTGGTTGAAAGCTAATATTAAAATCATTAACATCAGTAACAAATAGGTGACATTTTCCCTCCTGATATCAGTGATGTGAGTCACAGAAATGACTTTAATGATCTTCCTGTGATCCTAATGATAAGGAGCCATTGAATCTCTAAAGATGACCACAAATATTTAATATACGAATCATGCTTCTCTTTTATTTGATCATATTTTAGCGTATCTGGAAGATTTATGCACCCTGAAACTTTATTAAGAGGCTAATGTACTTTTGTGAAAGAAAAGAACCTTACCAGTTAGGTGTTCAGTGTACTTCTGTATGATTAAACACAGTAAGACATTATACTAAAATCACTTTAAAAACTAAATTTGTTTTTTGACTTTTTCATCCATGTAAACCATGTATTCTGATTACTCCTTGCCTTTCCATTCTTCGTTGACTCCTTTCCTTTATTAACACATTCTCTTTTCAAATACTTTTTTCATGGTCATGTTTTTGTTTAACAGCCTGGAATTCTCCATTAGAGCTTAGAGGGTTCACGAATGGATGTTCAAATAATGTTAGTGACTCCTCAATTTCCATAGTTGATCAATGGCCACAATGGAAGTAGGAGGGCCTCAGAGAATGTTGAGCCCCTTCCTTCCAACCGTGGTTGGCCATTAACGGGCTCATTCTTGTGTGTACTCAGTGGAAAAAAGTGCACTTGCATTGAGTTCACATATCTTTTGAAAGCACTTGCTTCCTGCAGCTGTGTAAAGTCGTTACATGTGCTAGTTCATTTAGCTATTTGAATTTTTTATGATTAAACTATAATTCCTTAAAATATATTTTAAAATAAAATTGCATAAAATATAATTATGGCTCATAGAAATCATGGAAAAGAATTAGTTGACTTATTTGTTGGACTAGAAAATAAATTTGGTTATGATCCTGATAAAAACCAAATTGTTTAAGGCAATAAATATGTGACAATATGTCTTAATGTCTCCAACCTTTCGATGTGCCTTAATTTAGTTCTTAATTTAGTCTTTATTCATCTTCAAAATTAGAAAATTCTTTGAAATGGTAAAGACTATTCATAAACTTAGAGAAATTTAGAAACAATTCCACAGGATGCCATTTAAAAAAATACACATAAGTGTTTAATGAAAGTGTTTAGATACAGAGGGCCATGCAGCTGACTGAGGCTTGTCTCCCTCCCCCAGCCAAGACTTTCAGATGTCTCCTTCTGTCCTGTTCAGTTTCTTCTTATCTTCTAAACCTCAGGAAATAGAATCCTAAACTGAAAAATTAATGCATTTAAAAAATTCTGCAGTTATTTGTTATGCAGCTTTGGTACAAAGCACTTTTGCTCTGTGCTTTGGAGAGTTTAAAGGCCTCAAGTTGTGGCTTTTCCGCTCACTATTTGATTTCATTTCAAGCCTCTCTGCTGCAAATCATGCCTTACTTGATGAATGTTCTTTACTTCGCATTACCCATCTGAGTTTTAGTCTTGTCTCCAATCATTAGTTATGTTCTTAATTTGGTTCTGTATGATAAGTACACTTTTTACATCTATTGATTTATTAAGAATATCTAGCTCACTGAGAGACTAATACTTAATTTCCTGCATGTATTTGTATACCATCAAGTCTCAGAGAACAGAGCAAAGTACAATGGAACAACATTAATCTCACTAAGACTTACCAAGTGGTTAACATTTATTGGGTGCTAATGACATGCCATAAAATAATTTATACAGCATTTAAGCCTTTTAAAAATGTCAAAGGATGAAGAATATGCTCTTTTTATAGAGAAGGAGATTGAGGAAGAGTTATGGGATGTAAGGTTATGTCTGTCAGTATCCATATCTCTACCTCTTCCTAAGTGCACAGTGATACCACACTTCTTCAAACCCTCTAGTCTAGTAGGAAGAGAAATCTGTGTATTAGGGTTCCACCGAGAGCAGGTTCTGCTGTCCTCATCGTGTCTGTGGTAGGTTGCCTATTTCCCGTAGAGTTCCTTTCTCCAAATATTTACATATAAACTGGAACAAGGTAAGATCCTTACGTGACAAAATGAGGGGATGCTTGCAAGACACAGCACATGCTTCTTTAATTTGGGTTTGCTGACAATTCCTGTGGGAATCCGCATTTCCCATCCATGCTGCTGAATTCTCAGGCAAGCTATGCCAAGAAGAAAGGCATCCGAGCTCTTGTCCAGGAAGAGGGGAACATACTGAATAAAGTCCCACTTTTATACCAGGCTATGAATATTCCCAGGAAATAACCATTGAAACCTGTCTAACAGCAGTAGACAAAATGGTGGGTTTAATAATTTTGGGGCCATGGCATTTTGTCTATGAAAATAAAGTCTACTCAGTTATGAAATCATAGATAGAAAGTATATTGCCTGGTGAGGAATAACTGGATAGACAGTTGTGAGTACGGAATTTGAGACACATCTTGGAAGATGAGAGATTGTTTTGGTAGATTGGCTCTTCCAACAGCTACCAACAACTTTAAGCTTTTCTCCTTTTATTCTCCCCAAAGTCTAAAGTATGGGTATTTGTATCATTTAGTGGATAAGGTACTTTGGTCCAGAGTGGTGTAGTTCAGGAGGCTTTGTTGGTACATGGAAAGGTTGGATTGAAATCTACGCAACAATCCTGCGCTGTGGATACTCTTCATGCAGAGTTAGGAAGATGCGTGGCTCACAAAGACATGTTGGCTCAGAGGGCATTGTGGCATGTCAGATGTACCATCTGTTTCTTTCGTGGAATGGGATGAGAGCCAGAGAAATGAGGGTACACTGGAGTCGAATGGGTTTCTAATAGTTCTTGCTGGCTTTTCAGTATTCATGGTAGCCAATAACTTTTTAATGCTTATATGGAAGTTTTCTAACACCATTCTCATTTTTAGGCACTTTTGCCTTGACATCCTTGATATCAGCCAATGCTGTAGAGCGGCTTGTTCCTCAAAGCAGCAGGAACCTAACCACACAGAGCAACTCAAGTGTGCTGGGCTTATCCGACTTTGAGCTACAGAGAATCGGGGTTGCAGCGGCAGTTTCGTTCTTGGGAGGAGTGATTCAGGTAAGGAGCCCTGAGGCTGGATAGGACAGGAGAGGAGCAGAGGGAGAGCAGTCAGTATTGCATTTGTGTCCTTAACCATGGGTTTCTCTCCAGATGGATAAAGGGCAGATGGCTTTAACATTATGGAAATGTGCAATAAATCTGTAAATGATGCTTAGATGAATGAAGTAGAATCACCAAAGTGAAGACTCGGGGAAACACTTAGTAAAATTAAATCTTTAAAAGTATTTTTTGAGTGGGGGTACAAACATGAAGTTGGGTGGGTAGGAAGGACTTGGGAGGAGTTGGAAGAATAGAAAGAATATAATAAAATACATTGCATGAAGAATTTTAAAAATTGAAATCATAAATTCAAAATAAATGAAGTAGAATTTTAATAATTTTAAAGAGTTTTTTATGGCCCAGAGAAATGATATAGTGGCTAAAAATGCTTGCTTGTTCTTCTAAGGACATAGCACTCATGTAGAGGATGAAAACTGCCCATCTGGTTTTAGGGATCCAACTCCTTCTTCTGACCTCTGTGGTCACCAGACACACACACACACACACACACACACACACACACACACACACACGTAGGCAAAATACTCATACACATAAAATTAAAAACAAATCTTTTTAAAAGGTGTTTTACAAATAGAATGGGTTTCCTAGTACCGCCATGAGGCCAGGCTGTGTCGATAACTTGACCAGAGTATCATTGGAAGGGGGTTTGGTGAGAAATTTTTATAATAGGAAGATACAGCTAGCTTTCTTGAACCCTTCTCTGCGTAAGCACTTTCTGATTGTCGTATACATGGGCAGTAAATGGTAGCCTGTGCTGCGACTTCCTGGTCTGAAGTCTCTGGACTCAGATCTGTACCCCTCTTTGACTTTTTTATGACTCTGAATGTCTATTACTCCCACATTAGCTATTGTCAAGTTTTCCTCAGAATATCAATATTTGATCCTTGCTGTTTTTATCGAAGCGATCAAACCTAGGTCACACAGAAACAACTTTAAGATGAACCTTCGGGGACTGACAACATGCCTGGTTGAAACAGCTTCCAGGAGAAAAGACACAGTTGTACTCACAGTTTCGAGACCATCAGTCCTCTGTCACTAACCTTTATCTCTGGGCCAGTGACGACACGGAACATTGTGGAAGAAAAAGGTGGCTCACTGTGGGACAGACAGAAAACAGACAGAAGGTGAATGGATTTGGACACTGGGGGGTCTCTAAAGCACACACCCTCGACCGCCTGCCATCTGGCCACCTCCTAGTCTCTACCATTTCCCTGTCACCCCATCACAGGACGAATCTATCCCTGTGTTGGGTCAGAGCCACAGCGATTTAGTCAGACCCCTGAATATTGCTTTGGGGAACAAATTTTCAGCACATCCGTTTTGGAGGAACATATCATAATCAAACCATAATATATAGAAAGGCACAAAATACCAGACACAAAATTCTCTGCGAAGTGGTCATTTTTGCTTGCTCATTTCTTATAAACTAAGTTATGCATCCAATCTTTTCTGGATGTTTATGTTCGGGGCTGATAGTCTATTTTGAAATGTTACCTTATCATTTCCAAGATCAAATATGAATAGCAAAAAAGGGAGACTGGTTGATGATTATGTGAATAAATGTAAAGAAAAACAGTGTGATCTACAAAAAAAAAAAAAGAAAGAAAAAGAAAAAAAGAAAATCATTAGAGCCTTTTTCCTTCTGGTTGTATGAGAAGGGTGAAAAATCAGGGTATAAGATGTGAACCGCTTCTTGCTTATTTCACTGTGCAGATCTCACTATGATTAGGGAGGCAGCGTTACCAGGCCACAGTGGAAGACTATGAAAGACAGTCTTGATGAGACCTGATAGGCTAGGGTCAGATGGAAGGGGAGGAGGACCTCTCCTATCAGTGGACTGGGGAAGGGTCATGGGAGGGGATGAGAAAGGGAAGGAGGGCGAGATTGGGAGGGGACAAAGTGGGGAGGCTATAGCTGGGATACAAAGTGAATACATTTTAATAAATAAAAATATATTAAAAATAATAAAAGCTGAAGTCTGCATAGTTACAAAAAAAAAAAAAAAGGAACAGTGTTGCCATGATGACAGAGCAGAGTAGTAGGTCTGTCAGACTGCCTTCAGAACAGTCTTTCAGGCAGCAGAGCCTGGCTGTATTACCCTGTGACCTTCACCATGTGTTTTCAAACATGGATGGTGGCTTGCTGATCTTGGCTTCCACAGTCCGTAGAAGGAAAATTCCTGATGTGCTCTGTCTCAGACAAAAATCAGCTGTGTGAACTGGTGTTTGAAGTCCAAATATATTGGCTTGGGTTTGATATAGATTCCTCTTAATTTTTTTTCTATCCCCCCATAAGCCCCTCCCTCCTCCCCTCCCGATCCCACCCTCCCTCCCATTTCTGCATGCATGCCCCTCCCCAAGTCCACTGATATGGGAGGTTCTCCTCTCTTTTCTGATCTTAGTCTATCAGTTCTCATCAAAAGTGGCTGCATTGTCCTCTTTTGTGGCCTGGTATGGCTGCTCCCCCCTCAGGGGGAGGTGATCAAAGAGCAGGCCAATCAGATTATGTCAGAGGCAGTCCCTCTTCCCATTACTATGTAACCCACTTGGACACTGAACTGCCATGGGCTACACCTGTGCAGGGGTTCCAGGTCATCTCCACGAATAGTCCTTGGTTGGAGTATGAGTCTCTGGGAAGTTCCCTATGTTCAAATTTTCTTGTTCTGTTGCTCTCCTTGTGGAGTTCCTGTCCTCTCCAGCTCTTACTATTTCCCACTTCTTACATAAAATTCCATTCACTCTGCCCGACAGTTGGCCATCAGGCTCAGCATCTGCTTTGATAGTCTGCAGGGCAGAGGCTTTCAGAGGCCCTCTGTGGCAGGTTCCTAGGTTGTTTCCTGTTTTCTTCTTCTTCTGATGTCCATCCTCTTTGCCTTTCAGGTGGGGATTGAACATTTTAGTTAGGGTCCTCTCTCTTGCTTGGTTTCTTTAGATGCATAGATTTTAGTGGGTTTGTCCTACGTTGTATGTCTATATGAGTGAGTATATACCGTGTGTGTCTTTTTGCTTCTGGGACAACTCACGCTTCCTCAAGATCCAGCCATACCACTCCTAGGCATATATCCAAAAGAGGCTCAAGTACACAAAAAGGACATTTGCTCAACCATGTTTGTAGCAGCTTTATTTGTAATAGCCAGAAGCTGGAAACAACCAAGATGCCCCTCAACTGAAGAATGGATGCAGAAATTGTGGTACATCTACAATGGAGTATTACTCAGCAATGAAAAATAAAGAAATCATGAAATTTGCAGGTAAATGGTGGGACCTGGAAAGGATTCCTCTTAATTTTTGTTCATTTAAAATGAAAATCTCTGTATTAAAGTGGTTAAAAAAAGAGAACAATGCTTCCTCTTGCTCCAGTATTTCCATTTCTCTTTCTTTTACCCTAGGTAGCACAGAACAGAGGGTTATAGGTGTACATTATTTTCAGAATATATTATTGTTAATAAGACTGGTAACTGTCTTCCTAGTCTCATTTTAAACATTTTTATATGAGTCTCAAATGATTTCCAGGTATTTTATTATCATTTACATTGTTTGGATTAAGAATTTACACAGGGGTTCTGGGTTATCTTGATTTGCCTGCTCTTTGATCACCTCCACCTGAGTGGGGAGCAGCCTTACCAGGCCACAGAGGAAGACAATGCAGCCACTCCTGATGAGACCTGATAGACTAGGATTGAGGGAAGGAGAGGAATACCTCCCCTATCAGTGGACTAGGGGAGGGACATGGGTAGAGAAGAGGGAGGGTGGTGCTTGGTATTGGCATAGAAACAGAAAGGTGGATCAATGGAACCGAATAGAAGACCCAGAAATAAACCCACACACCTATGAATACTTGATTTTTGAAAAAGAAGCCAAAACCGTTCAATGGAAAAAAATAGCATCTTCAACAAATGGTGCTGGTCCAACTGGATGTCTACAAATAGAAAAATGAAAATAGATCCATATTTATCACCCTTCACAAAACTAAAGTCCAAGTGGATCAAAGACCTTAATATAAAACCAGATACTCTAAATCGATTAGAAGAAAAAGTGAGGAACAGCTTAGAACTCTAAGACAACTTCCTGAATAGAACACCATCAGCACAAGCTCTAAGAGCAACAATCAATAAAACTGAAAAGCTTCTGTAAAGCAAAAGACACTGTCGTTAGAACAAAACGACAGCCTACAGATTGGGAAAGGATCTTCACCAACCCAACATCTGACAGAGGGCTGATATCTGGAATATATAAAGAACTAAAGAAGTTAAAAGGCAATAATCCAAGCAACCAAATTAAAAAATGGGGTATGGAGCTAAACAGAATTCTCTGTAGAAGAATATAGAATGACAGAAAAACACATAAGGAGATGTTCAACATCCTAGCCATCAGAGATGCAAATCAAAACGACCCTGAGATTTCACCTAACACCGACCGGAATGGCTAAGATTAAAAACTCAAGAGAAAATGCATTCTGGAGAGGATGTGGAGAAAGGGGAACTCTCCTCTATTGCTGGTGGGAATGTCAACTGGTACAACCACTATGGAAATCAATCTGGAGCTTTCTCAGACAATTAAGAATAGTGCTATCTCAAGATCCAGCTATACCACTCCTAGGCATATATCCAAAAGAGGCTTAAGTACAGAATAAGGACATTTGCTCAACCATGTTTATAGCAGCTTTATTCGTAATAGCCAGAACCTGGAAACAACCTGGATGTCCATCAACGGAGGAATGGATACAGAAATTGTGGTACTTTTACAGAATGGAATACTACTCAGCAATTAAAAACAAGGAAATCATGAATTTTGCAGGCAAATGGTGGGATCTAGAAAAAAATCACCCTGAGTGAGGTATCCCAAAAACCGAAAGACATACATGGTATATACTCACTTATATAGCCCTATAATATAGGATAAACATACTAAAATATGAACAACTAAAGAAGATAA